GGGAGCGAGTTGTCCCGTCAGCTGGTACTCCTCCAAGCCACAAGTTTATGCCTGTCAGATAAGAAGTGGAAACCACGCTGATTTGCAATGTGGAAGGTTTTACTTCATTATATTTTCTCTCTTTCATTTCCAAGTGATCTATCTGAACTTTTAGGTCGACTAAGCTTCGTGGTTAGCTTGCCGTCGGCGTCTAACTTGTACCAGACACACACGACAATAGATGTTGACTCTTGCAGACTTACAAGCGCATTGCATGAGCCAATTTGACTATCGTTTTGGGACAATGCATACGCGATGTCTAGTTTTATTTGCGCCAGCTGGACGTGACTGAAGTCTGTGATATTTTTTGTGGTGTCAAGAACTTTGACCAAGTGAGCTGTTCGGCTAGGAATAGGTATCCTCAAACACTTCTTGTGGTCAAAATCGACAGTCTCGTTACTTAGTTTAAATAGGCCTTCCCTGTCCTGTTCTTCTTTAAATTCACTCATGTGTAAGGTTCAGTCTGACCACCTTGTCGGAGTAAAACTTCATTTATGCTTAACATCCCGTGTGCCCTAAAGGCTTTGAACGGAGTGATAGTCTGGATCCCTAGGTCCTGTGTCTGGCTTCTCCCAGATTGCAATTACGACTGGGAAGTGTGTGCTGACGCGATCTGAATCACGGTTTAACCTATTAGAGCGAGGGGCCATAAAGGCGCCACATGAAGAAAGAGCAATTCCAAGAGGGGGCGGGGATGATTTGTCCCGTCTACTGATACCCATTCAAGCCACAACTTTGAGCATGCCAAACATGCGGTGGGAAGCACGCTGATCTGCAGTATGGAAGGAGTGACTTGATTATATTTTCCCTCTCATGTGCAAATGGTCTATTTGAACTTTTAGGTCGACTAGGCTTAGCGGTTGGCTTGCTTGCTGTCGACGTCTAACGTACGGCAGTGGCTGTTGACTCTGGCCAACTGACGAGCGCATCGCATAAGCGATGCCTAGTTTTATTTGCATCAGCGGCACAACTGTCTTTGGAAGTCCTATTCGCCTTTGACTTATAATTATAAGTTCTGCAAATATTCCCATTCTTAAGTTGAGAAGTCAAGATTGTCAAACATATGTTTTCAGAAAATCATCATCAGGCCGGAACATTTGCAGGGTAATTAAAACTATACAGATGGACAGGGTTAAATAGTGCAGTCTAATTACAATTCATCGTTTACGCGTCGCCCGCATGCCGAGGTCAGCGTGTAGAGGTTCGTGCGTCCGGGGAGGGGTAGGGGGGTAGTTGGGTTAGGTTGTGGGGTTGATCAGAAGGCAGATACATGGGGGGATAATTGCTGCTATTTGTGCGCAGCGAACGACTGTCACTGGGGCTTGGGGGCAAAGTGCAATCGCCACCT